CCGGGGGCTGCGCGCAGGAGCCGGGTTTTTATTTATTTGTTTGTTTGTTTGTTTATTTTAACGCTTCTTTCATAACATCAACAATTCATTATTATTTGCCTATTCATTTGGCTATATTTTCTTTTCTGTTGCTTTCTTTTGTTTAACACTGATCATGTTTCACCCTGTTTTTCATTCCCCCCTGTCTGCAATCAACTTCTTCATTCCAATAAAAGGCTGGGCACAGAGTAAGTTTACTCCTCTCGGCTGTTGCTAACACCGGTGGTAAGGGCTTGTCAATGTTACTAGATGATACGAACGTCAGATGGTACATATGAATGATGGGCTGCTGTTCATGCCATGCTCAAGATTGCACCTAAATTCCTAGTTAAAGCCAGATGTTGTAACATTCTTTGCCGCTATTTTATGCCACAGATACTTGTGATTATTAAGCACACTTCAATGCTTTCCATTTGTTTTTGTTACTGTAGCTTGCCAAGCTTTTCTTTAATTAATAGGAGCTCAAACGTGATTTGGGGGAAAGTATGGGGCCTGCCAGTTCGTCAGCGAAGGAAGTGGTCTTTGCTGAACTCACAAACTCTGCTGGCTTCAGTGGGGTTATGTGTTTTAAGTGGCAGTATAATTTTATTAAAAATTAAATACATAACTGGTGTTGCATGTCTAAGTCCCTAGTGAGGGCATTTTTCACTGAGAACTCTTGAAAGACCATCAAAAATGTGTCTTTTTTTTTCCTCTCCTGGGTTAGTTTTAAATTGGTAGCTCATTGATAAAAAACTCTTGTATTGCTTTACTGATACTTTCAACCATCTAATCTCCAAAGATGCATGGCTTTGATGATGGCACTGAGACGTTCTTAATCTAAAAAAAACCAAAACCCAAACAAAAAACCCACTCAAATTCCCTCTGCCTTTTTTGATGACTGTTAGCGTGAAGATAGCTGCATGGCCTGAAAAATTTAAAAAGCAAATATTAAAAAAGGTAATTTCTCAGCATAGTTACTACTGTGTATATATATATCTGGGCTTTGTCTTTTACGAACACATTTGATGGCTGTCATTTTAGGAACTGTCTTACTAACAAAGCATATGGTTGGAAGATAAACTGTCTCCTTTAATATGGAGCTATTTATCAAGTTAACAAGGATGACAATCTCTAGATCCAGTGTTTTTACAGTGTAGTGGCATAACACCCTGTGCTTTGTAGAGCTTTTCATGCCCTTTTTGCATAATTAATTTATTGCTGTGTTGCTTGCATTAATTATTTCTTTATTTGCAGATTTAAAGCCTGTGATATTAAACTATGGTCTTACTTCATCTGAATCCTTAATTTTGAAGCCACCATTAAATCTGTATTCTCCTTGCATCTGTTGTACTGAAACTATGAATATATAGAACTGGTAATAGAACCACTGTGTGCAGTAGTCTGGCTTATCTTCTTTGCAGTGCCCTGGGTTTTTTGTTTTGTTTTTGTTTTGGTTTTTGTTTTTTAAACTGTTAGTCTTACTCTCTTGTTCAGTGGTTCCTACAATATGGACTCTGAACAAGTCGGCTATTCTGGTTAGCTATTAACACATGTTGCAAATTTGCTGCTTTTTTTTTTTTTCCCTGATAAGGAAGAAAACAGAAGTTAATTAAAGTAGAAAAAAACTTGGATGAAGAGTTTTAAAGAGGGAAGTGGCCAAAGTTTAGCCAGGTCTGTGCTTGAGAACATGTACTAGAGATGTCCTTTTTTTTTTTTTTTTTCCTTTGCATGTTAAGGAGAAAAAAAAAAAAGTGGGATAGTTTATGGTAGTTCCCAAATTTGTGTAAAATACATCAAGTAGTAACACATTTCTGTTGTTAAACCTTGCAATGGCTTTCAGCAACAAAACCAAAAAAAAATTCTGTACACTCTTGTGAGGCCCCCCTCTGGATAAAGTTCTATGTTAGTAAGAGCCCGTGTTTTCCTTCAGTATAGCAATATTCCATCACCATTTCATTTTTATTTTAGTAGCTTTTACATCAAAATGCAAGTTATGAAACTGAAGAAAACATTGCAATGCTTTCTGTTTGCCAATGATTCTTGTCTTAATAAGCATCTGTAATGATCTTTCTTCCCTGTCATGACACCTGATAAGTTGGTGTTAGTATTAGGAGATCTTCATATTCCACATCGATGCAACAGCCTCCCAGCCAAATTCAAAAAACTGCTGGTTCCAGGAAAGATCCAACACATCCTCTGCACAGGAAACCTCTGCACCAAGGACACTTATGACTACCTCAAGACTCTGGCTGGGGATGTTCATGTTGTCAGAGGGGACTTTGATGAGGTAGTGTCCTCTTGACAATGACTTTTTTTTGTGCATCTTTTACATAAAGGCAACATTTGGGTTATTTGTAATTCAAGTAAAAGTGGGCAAATAGGTTATGTACTACTAAGAGCACGTGAAAAGAAAACTGAGCCAAAGAGTTGGGATTACAGTCAATAATGTGAATTGCACAGTAAGTTCTGGTCTGCCGTCAGTATGAATAAAAGTAATTTGTGTAGTTGGCTATGTCTAGGACTCCAGCAAACAGGACCTGCTGTTGTCAGATCTTCATAGAATCATAGAATACTTTGGGTGGGAAGGGACCTTTAGAGGCCACCCAGCCCAACCCTGCAGTGAGCAGGGACATCTCTAACCAGATCAGGGTGCTCAGAGCCCCGTCCAACCTGACCTGGAATGTTGCCAGGGATGGGGCCTCCACTGCCTCTCTGGGCAACCTGTTTCAGTGCCTCACCACCCTCATTGTAAAAATTTTCTTTCTTATGTCTAGTCTAAATCTATTCTTCTTTAGTTTAAATCCATTATTCCTTGTCCTGTCACAACAGGCCTTGCTAAAAAGATTGCCCCCATCCTTCCTATAGGGACCCCCCCCCCTTTGAAGTTCCTTGCATCCTACCACATTCTCCACAGTGTTCCTAAAAGCAGCTTTGTAGCTCTCATTTTGTAGTGGTAGGGCTAATTACATTGAATATTTCCGTAAGCTTTCCCCCTCTCTTCTTGGTGTTGCATAGAGATCTTAAAATATAAATCTGTGCATCTAATCTATGTTGGTGTTTTTATTTTTAGAACCTGAATTATCCTGAACAGAAAGTTGTAACTGTTGGACAGTTCAAAATCGGGCTGATTCATGGCCATCAGGTTATTCCTTGGGGTGATATGGCCAGCCTGGCACTGCTACAAAGGCAGTTTGATGTGGACATCCTAATTTCAGGACATACACACAAATTTGAGGCATTTGAACATGAAAACAAGTTCTATATCAATCCAGGATCAGCTACAGGAGCTTATCATGCCTTAGAGAAGTAAGTGAAGTATGGGAAATACCGTGGGGTGTTTCTTTTCAATAACAAAACTGAACTACAAAACTCATTATGAAGGTTAATGTTTACATTCTAAATGTGGGGGAGAGGAAGGGTTGATAGTACTCGCTAAGTCTCCTTGACTGAAACACATGAGAATGAAATACTTAAAGCTTCAGCTCCAATGTACTGTGCTTACAAAATTTGTACCGTTTTTCTTAGATTGATTTCTGTTAACTAGTGGTGAAACACTGCTAAGGTGATTATATACGCACAATTAATATGAATTTTTTCCTCTCTTTCCAGCAACATCATTCCTTCATTTGTGCTGATGGATATCCAGGCTTCTACAGTAGTTACATATGTCTATCAACTAATTGGAGATGATGTGAAAGTAGAAAGAATTGAGTACAAAAAGTCTTAAAAATGTATTTGCTTGTCTGGTATTTTTACCATCTCATTCTGAACTGCAAGTTACTACAATACTTGATTGCTAGTTTACAGTACTACACTTACTTGCTAACAGCTTAACAATGTAGCTTATAACTTTAAAACAACATTGTGTTTGCTTTTCTCTGTATGAATTGATTTGTAAAATATTCCATTGAAATAACTGTTTAAATACTGTTCGTTAATGTTGTAATAAACTCTACTTCATAGAAAAACAAAGCTTTATGAACTGTTGTTGGGGAAAAAAATGCAACAGTTGTAGTTGCTTTTAAAATACCTGATGCTCTGGTTTGGTGACTTACTTCTAAAGGGTACTTGTAAAAGGCTTGAACAAAAAGGTTGAGGGCTCTGGGGCCATATTATCCAATTGTTACTTAATTTTCTCAATTAAATTAAAAGAATAAAATGGATTGATAGATTCTGAAAGTATTACAGTTAAGTCATAACTTACAGTAGTAATTTCGCTGTAGAAAGTTTAACTTTAGTCTTTTTATAATCAAAGCAGTTTCAACTACCACTGTGCTTTAATGAATGATGGTCTCAAATCTATAAACAGTGAAGAGAGGCTTTTCTTTATTTATGGCTTATACCTGACACTACATGTATATGCACTTTGCTCCATGTACAGAAGTTTTAAATAATGTTAATTCCATGTGGCACTGGTACTACTACTGAAGACTAAAAACATTGGTTGTTCAAGAAGACTGGACCTTTTGGCTGTCCTGTTATCGTGACTGCAGGGAACTGAATGTATTTTAACAGCTCCCCTTTCTCATGGCTGCTAACTTTCCAATAAAAACAGAGTTTTGTCTTCTATGGAAGAACATTTAGAATGGTGGCCTGTTTCCTTTGCAGATGTTGGCCTTCCTATTATGACTTTTTTCAGTGTAGTATCTGTGCAAAAAGCTGTGCAGTATTTGTCATGAAGGCTTGAGTTGAACTAACAGTTTTCCATCCGCCAGAACCCTTACTTCTGTATCATGAGCTGACAAGATAACTTGCTTCTATTCAAAATAAACATGCTTTACCTTAGAAAAACACCAAGCATTTCAGCCTGGTATCTCAGGAACCTCTGGCTAAGTGCTACTTCATGCAGTGAAATGCATGCCCGTTGCTTTGTCCTGCTGCAGCCATACAGAAAGAGCAAAGTTGAAAAGAAGACCTTGGCAAACATTATTGAAGGACAGTTAGTGACTGAGTGGAACATCAATTTACTGACAACTTCATAATTAAAAAAGGTTTATAGAGTAGTGTAAGGCCAAAATTGGTACGTAAATCTGTTTATTTGTGCTTACTATAGTTAAAATTACAATCTGTCTACAAAGTATATCTTACATGAAGTACACTGCTTACAGTTTTAAAAAAAGTTTATCACAGTTATGCAAGGTTATGTTTGTGTGAATGAAATCTTAAAGAGGGATACTGACAGCAGACTTAAACACGGAGAAATACAGAAGTAAAGGAAATAAACTTTAATCCTTCCTAAAATGAAAGTGCTGAATATGAACGTTACTGTTGAATAGAAACAGGAAATTTTGCTGTAAATCTAAACTGTTTCAATGGGGATAGAGTATGGAGAAGAAACAGTGTAGAACAGTGAAAAAAAAAAAAAAAGTGGAAAGCTCAGGGTAGCTTTTGGTAAAAGAGCATTGAGGTTTTAGTTTAAATGTTCACCTGACCAGTATGAGCATTCTCAATGCACGACCCTCATCTTGCCAGTAGAGGGAGAAAACAAAAGGGTAAATTAAGATCTTCTCGATGACAGTTCCAGTACACAGGTCTCCTCTGGTCCATTCAGATACATCTGGAAGGTAAAAGAACAATATTAATAGGGCTTAGGAAAGCAGGATATAATTGAAGACCTGTGAAAGTACTTGAAAACACAAGGCTTAGCATGGCACAGATTTGGTTCAAGTAAAATGAATTATTTGAATAAAGGGATATTTTATTATATACAATATATTTTACTGAAATAAATCCGCTAACAAATATTTTTGCTAAAAGTTGAGTGACAGTCTTAGTTTAGAAAAAAAGGAGAAAATACTGCATGAGGTACAAAGGTGGTTTGTTTTACCTTCAGAAGATCAGATGATGGTATGTCTACCAGAGTAGGATTTCCACATTTCTCTTGATATTCTTGAACTAGGGCTGTTGCATCATCAATGCTGTAGGAGGCAAAAGTTTATCAACTTTGTCCCCAAGTTCTCTAAAAAGCCAAGAATTTAGACTATATACACTGAAGTATAAAAATAAGGTATGACCCCACATTTTTGAAGTCAGACAGGTCCCATCGTTTCCCAGTAGAGGCAAGCAAGCCATGACAAGCCTAGCATTTAACCTGTGGCTGTTAATAAAACCAATATATACTAGAATTTAAATGGTTATTTATTGGTTCCTGTGCCATTTCGACTGCAGAATAACTGGTAACAAAGTGACTTGCAATACTGAGTATTTGGGGTCTAAAATGAAAGCTTGCAGCTGTGCAAAAGGAGCCCAAGTGCTGAGAGTCACTGATAGATTGCTGATTGAGAACCGCCCTGCCATAGGTTCAGTGGCAAGACCCTCTGTTTTATTTAAAGTGGAACATAAGAGGCATTTCTAACTCTTGAAAAACTTAGCAGCAAAACCACTAATAGGATCCTAAGTCTTGAGTACAGACAGCTCATTTATTTTTTCAGAGTGTTCTTATTGCTGAAGCTGTGACTCCATGATGCTACTATGCTGAATTCATCTGAAGGTACGGTAAAGTGTTTGCTTTTTCAGTCAGGTTACTTCTGCTATTTTAACTGCATTTGACCTGCCTGATAGTCCAGGCTCAATAAGCTGTTACTTGCTTGAATGACACTGTAAAACTCTTAAGTATGCAAAGTAGTGAGGCGAGATTTTTATTTTATTTCTTTATTTAACTTAGGAGTACTTTAAAAATTCTTGGACACTAAGTACTAGAAAATCTCCATGACTTCAAATAAACGAAAATAAAATAAAGGAGATTCAATTTCTGTAATTGTATCAGCCATGCCTCACCTGTTTAACTAACTTACCAGTTCTTCTTGGCAAAATAATCCACCAGTTCTTTCATTCGGTGAGTATTCATCAGTTGTTGCTTCAACAGTGGAAAATACTTAGTTTTCAAGAATTTTTCATATAGCTTCTCATTTATGATACTGTCCAAAACCAAAGATCTAATCTGTAGATTTAAGTTTTAGTAATGAAAAAGTATTAATATTTTAACCATTAAAAAATTTACTTTTGAATGAAAAGAGCTCAGACTTTTCTTACTGGACTCTCATAGAGCAGGATTTTTTAAAAAAATTTTTTTCAGTGCTGTGAAATGGCGGATTTTTATGAAGACTAATCTTGGATTCAGATAGGGGAATGAGTTAAGAAGCTTGCCCTTAGGAAGGCAGCCCCAGGCAAGGCAAGAGAGAATGCAGGCCCATAAGCCCTTTGGCCTTTTTGCTTAAAACATTTATTTAGAAAAATAAAGTAGTACCGCTGCAAACAATGCTGTCCTACAAATAGGGGCAGCCTGTAACACAGCACTGTGTATATATATGAGAAGTTTTTCAGCTGCACAACATTAACAAAAATGCAAAAATCCCTGCAAATGTTGCTATAATTTAGAAGTGTGCGTTATGTCACCTAGTGCTTGGCAAGATCAGGAGAGAGAGGAAAACAAGGTTCTGTGTACACTTGTCTATCAAAAAAGTCTGTGAGTCAAAGGCAAGTGAAGTAAATTTTATTTATTTACCTGAGAAGCAAATGCCACTACTTCTCCAGTGCTCATGTGTTCATCTATTTGTTGCAGCACAGTTTCTGTGTTACATGTTGATAAGAAACCCTTGCAAAAATAAGTTACAAAACATTAATATTCTGTGAATTATTAAAGTAGAAACTCTCCCTTCAGAGCAAGCATTTGATTTATTCAGGAATAATTAGTATTTTGAAATTCTAGGTACAAACATGAAATTACCAAACCAGGATCTGTGCAGTTTGACTGAAAGAAAAGAAAGTACTCATTGCTTTTAACTCTCAAAGGGTTTTTTTCTGTACCTGTTACAGATTTTTTTTTTTCCCCCCTCCCGTTTGGACTAATTGCCAGCAGACTAAATGTCTTACACTAATGCTGTAATTTGAGAAAATCTTTCTGAGCTTTAATGACTGGAAGTCTAAGAATTTAAGATGCCTTTACTAGTGCCAGTTTGCTTATGACAAATATGGGAACACCCTATAATGCTTCATCTGCGAGAACAATGCAGAGCATAAATTAATGGAAACAAATGAGAACAGAAAGGAAACTGTCAAGGTACATGAACAGTGAGGATATGGGTTTAAGGCAAAAGGTTTACATCTTGTGATACATATCAAGCACCTTCCTAAGAAGTCTGGAGCTTTCAACTCAACACTTTTCTGAAGTAGAATTCAGTACTGTTCTTACAATCTGCTGTGAAACTAGTCCACTGGTAGCTTCTCAGCAATTACATATGTTATCATATTCACACTGCTCCAGCAGGTATATGGCTATGGCTTAGGGTTTTTTTGTGTTTTTTCATGGGTTTTATGGTTGGGATCCCATAAAATATCCTGAAATCCTCAAAAGGCAAAGTCATATGACAAAGCTGCTGAGGATGACTTGAAGCTAGCTGGTTTTGCTTTTTTTTTTTAAAAAAAAAAAAAAAAAAGAAACCCAAAACCCAACTGTTCACATGATCCCTTCCAGAAGGACAAATTCAGGGCAATAGCCTTTGTGGGTGGGAAATGCCAAGCACCTGTCAGCAGTGATGTATTTAAATAAGATGGGATTACAAGTTACCATCTTTCACAGTCTCTATTGAACATAACACGCTGAAGGTCATTTCCCTTGCACAGAAGGAACAGCAAACTTACTATTTACCTGAATTTGCTGCTCTCGCTTCTCAGGCTGAGGAATCAGCAACAGGCACCCCAAAGCAAAAGCTGGAAGGTCCAGCTGTGCATACTGTTTAGCTATTCCAATGACATCCAAGTCAGCCAGAACAGGACACCTTCAGAAGAAGATTAGGAGTGAAGTTCTCAACTATGATATGTAGAACTGGATGGCTTAGTACTGTCAACAAAACTGCACTGAGAATTTTTAAGCCACATATAACAATACATATTTACCTCATTTTCAGAAATGGCTAAGCTATGTGAGTTGAAGTTTCACAGAATACAAATGCATGATGATTTTCTAGCTTGAAAAAAACCCCACCCAACTCCAGTTTCTCTTTCTAAACATCCAAGGCCCTGTTTTGATGGGAGGTGTTGGCCAGCTGCCCAGAGTAACGCTTTGGTACCTATGGATATGCACAGTAGTGTAGGCATGTTCTTCAGCTGGATCCCTTTCCAGTATTTCCTAACTAACTTTTGGTTCAAGTCAGGCGCTCTGAGCTCTGGTTCTTAGCTTGAGCAAGTTAGAGCGTTGTGGTGAATAAGATAATGATTTACTGCGCTTTTTCACATTGTAAAGGCAATGCAAAACTGGTTTATGTATAGCATGTTTTGCAACATTAATACCATAGGTTAACCACATTTACAGATGTGCAGCTATTAGATTTTTGTCATGTCAGATTTATTCTTTGTAGGAAAACGAATTCTTTCTCTCTTACACTCTGTGTTAATGTTTTAGGAAATGTGCTATATTTTGAGCTAAGAAAAATATTAACTGGACTTTTAGGGTTGACCATGAGTCCTTTAAAAACGTCAGGACAGGAACAGATATTCCTCATAGGGGCAGCGACTGGGCAAATAAATTGGTTTTCAGCAGTCTGTGCTGCTGATTCTGAGTCCCAATTCAGAGAGCAGTTCCCAGTACAGTTTAACAGCCAAGGTACTGAGTTACAGCACATGTCAACAGTCAAGCACAGAATTTCTGTTTGGGTATGTGCCCTGATCTTGTTCTTCCCAGAAAAGGCAGAAGGTTCTTCCTCAGGCTCCTCCCCAGTTTTCAGAGCTCCTTTGCATGTTCCAGGGCAGGTTGTTAGACAAGAAATTACAAACTGGCATTCCCGCTCAAACTAATACAAATGTGAGATGTACTATCCACTTACTTGAGCAGAATCACAAAACACTCACAACATTCCTCTAACTGTTTAGGACTCGGTGGACATGAAGCTAAGAAATAAAGAAAACATGATAAGGTAAATATATAACCAAGTTACTATACAAGCACGATAGCTAATAATGACCCTACCTGTGAGAAATGGTGACAGAACTACACTTCGCCAAGCTCGACTGAAGTTGGGAATCTGTTGACAACAAAGTTTTAAAGTAAGAGCCAAACACAGTTGTATCTAAGTGTACTTGTAAACGCAGACACACAGATATCCTGACCCACTGTAGGTGGAAGAAGCCTGTCAATTTTCTTTTTATCCTGGATGAATTATTCCCTAACACTGCTTTCCTCATCTCATAGTCTAAGATTTAGCCATATTTTGACTGATGGTAAAATTACTCTGTCCAGCTTTACAAAACCCTCCAAGTAAGTGTTTACTGAAGGAACCACAAGTGCAAAATATGCTATTTCAGTGATTAATAATGATACTCATCTGCATATTGCATTGTCATAATAATTAAAAAATAATCTTTTCATGCATGACACTCCATGGCACAGATGCTGCCATTCACACACACACACAAATAGGATGCTAAACTCCTGTTAAGTGAAGAAAAAGATTAGGAGTCGCAGAATATTTGCTTACCTCCCATAATGAATGAATCCCAGTAATTGCTATCAAAACTCTTCTTAGGTATTGAATCTGGAAAAAAAAAAAAATCATTATAAAATGCTACAGTGTTTTTTAAGATTTGGTGATAATCTACAGAACTGCATTCCTCTTGTCTGCAGGATGCAAACTCATAGTTCCTCAAGGTACCTCTGTTCCTTTGGGAGGAATAACTGATGCATATGGAAGTAGGATTTATAGTTTAGTAAATTAAATTATCACAAGCAGTAGCGGCTTATGTTGTCTCAGTAAATACCCAAGATTTCCAGTAGTCTTAATACAACTGGTGCTGAAAAGTTTATGATCCCAACTTCTTTGCTATTAGTACCTAAATCTCATTAGGTTAAAGCTAGCTTCAATACCTGTTTCTGTTACAGCCACATTGCTAGGTATATCTGTTACCTCCTTAGGCTGTAGCAACATTACATAAAATTTGACAATCAGAGGTAATTAAGATACTGAATGATAAAAATGAGGATTACTATAATAAATACATTTTAGGGGTAATATTTTTGTGTATCTGTATATGTATACACAGATGTATATACATATAAGCATAGTTTGTACGCATGTGTATATATTGCACACAAATATGCATATTCTGTTGTAAAATTATAATAATATGAAGAAAATTTTCAATTTATTATCATAGGATTTACTCTTGCCATTTGAATGGCTTTGTGCCTTTAAAAAGAATATAACTAGAGCAATTTAAGATCAAAGTTCTCAAGCAGTACTGCTAAAGCACAAATTCCTCAAAGCTTCATCAGTTCAGTATTTAAGAGCCCAAAGTAACCATGTAAACTATCAATAATTGTTCACAGTAAGTTTATAGTTTACGTGTCTATCACATTCTTTAGAAATCAGTGGATAAAAAAGCCTTTTTCTCACCTCACTGCAGAACTTCATGATTAAAAATTCCTTACCATATTGAAACCAAGGAGTTTCTGTAGCAGGCCATTCCACAACTGGGAATCGTATACTTTGTATTCTAGACTAAGCTCTGTCACCAGTCTAACAGCCTAAAGGAGAGCAAGGACACACTGTATTTTAATATACATTCATGATCTTCAAACCTTTACTGCTTGCCAGCGTCATTTTAGATTTTTACAGCATTACAGGGACCTTTAACTCCTGAAAGGCCACAACCAAGCCACTTTCAAAATTATTTTATGCATGTGAGGCAAATTAAAACAAAACCAAAAAACCCACCTATATGGGATACCACTTTATTTTCTAATTGTAGGAAAGCTAAAGCTTTTTTATCTGTAATTTTCAAATTTTAGACTAGCATATATATTTCAATGAAAGAACAAATCACTTCCATTTTATAGCTATAAATCACAAGTATTACTGTTGAAGCCTTAATAGACTTGTACACTTTTTTTGTCATACAATATAGTCCACCTGTAAATCTCGTTTACCTGCCCTTGTCTTCAGTGTTAAGTTAGCCGTTTACAAAAATACTTTGTAACACAAAGTAATTGTCAAAGTTAAATTCCTAAGCAGAGCATAACTTAAAACCTATCCCTGGCATATTAGATAAGTAACTAACAGCTATTCTAAAGGCGTATACCTGTTAATATTTAATTCATATTAAAGTATGATGTATGAGTCCAAGCAACTTAAAAAAACCAAGCAAACAAGAGGAAAAAAAGGCTTCTGCACCAAAGATCTTGCTTCTCAGACAAGAGACAAGGTATGGATACACAAAGTTGGGCAAGTACTAGGGAATCATTATGTGATGAGCGGTAGTTAGCACATCAATGGGTTTTTCTTCTTTGGTCACTCTGAAAGAGGAGGCTCTTTGGGGTAACTGCACACTCACTAGCATTTTTAAATAGAACTGTGAGTAGCGCATCATGAGTGGTGTATGAATAGCACAGAGTACATTGGAACAACACCTGTTTAGAAATGCATGTGCTATGTAGAAAGGTGTACATTTCACACAATGTGTAACAAACAAAAAATTACGAAGGATTTAAAAATCATACCGTGGGTTCATGGCTGTGATTCTTCCATAGCCCTTTAATCATTCCTTCCTTAGGACTCTTATGAAATGATTCGTAAGTATATGGAATATTCAAGATTTCAAACTCTGTCAGATAAATGCAGCATTTTAGAAAATACCTGTAAAAAAGTTCCCCCAAAACCAGGAGTTAATGATACTTACAGTGATTATTATATTATAACTCACATAATCAAGCTTAAGATAATACTGGAAAAGTGTTCTTCTGTTGCTTTAAAAAAAAAAAAAAGGAAAAAATAACGTAGACTGTATTTGTACTTATGAAGGAGACCTTAATGAAGTAAAAAAACTTTCTGGTAATTGCTTAGGGAAACTTCATTCACCTGAACGATGAATGGCTTGGATCATGTCTAAAGATAAACCAGTTACTGGTTACAACTCTTACAACTAAAATTTCATTCATGCACAGAGACTGCATATTTACAGAAACCCATATGAAGCTGTTTGGCATGATGTACTCCGAAAACATCACTTTCCATTAAAAGGGCCCTAATTCCAGATTACCAGCATAGAAATTCTATTCTAGATTTTTTCTAAGGAAGTTAGTTCCACAGATATTTTCAGAGAAACAATATTATTCTGCTGGGATTTTGGTTCCTTACTTTTGCAGAGGACTATGTCTTTGCCAGATGACATGTTCTGAACTCTGATGAACAGAATACTATATATATGGGTAGGAGAAAATGCTTCAGTTACTGAAGAAGTAACTGCAATCCGTGCAAAATGGAACAAAATATCTTCCATGTAATGTGATATTACTTTCAGGTTTACAGAGTAGGACTATGATGTACTGGACTGCATTACAGTGAAGTTAAAAGATCTAGTTATGATCTTCAGAAATAGATTTTAAAAGTTAAAAAAAACCCAGATTAGTAAAAAACAGTTCTCCAAATATCATATATTTCTTCCCAAAGACTGTTAAAGACCAAAAATAAAACCAAAAACACCATTAAGGAACACCTTAAGGAAAAATCATCTTACTTTACTTTCTCAATGGGTTTCTTGAAGAGCGATTCCACAGTCTTGGTATCTGCCAAGTAGAGCAGACACTTAAGTGCTCTGCTCCTGTGAGCAAATGTCAACTGAGTAACACCAATTGGCTGAGGGGGGGGAAAAAAACCAACACAGTGAAAAGTCACAACAATGGGCTGAACAACGAGAAAGAGGGTTATATATGTATGTCTAGTATGATCCTTTCTAAGATTTTTTTGATTCATTTCATGAAAATATATGCCAAGTAACAGACTGGTTCATGTTCAACTTTTATACTTACCAGTTGAAATATTTATCAACTTCAAAGAACACTGCTAAACCAGGTGGTTTTCTAGATTTAAGACTATTAATGCAGGCAAGGAAAGTATTTGTGATATACAGTATCACAAATACATTTAGTAAGTGTGAAAGACTGAAGGTTAAGGTTAAAGTAATTTTACCATTCTGCTTTAATTCCACCCAGAGAGAGCCAATGTATTGCACCAGCTTAAAGCACATTCTAGAAAACATTTAATGATGTTATTTTCAGATAATATCAACAATAAGTTTAGAAAACCCAGAGTTCAAGGACTGTTCTTGATAGTCAATAGCAAAATTCAATGAACACCACAGTTTTACTCCAAGGGGAGCGGGGGAGAAGCATAGAGATCATACAGCTATATAAACTATCCAAAACACAGATACAAAGGCCTTAGGTTGAAACCCATACAGTTAAGCAGGCAATACCCGATTTCAGTAAGAGGTAAAAATTTCATAAGTAGCAAGCTAAAAGAAGAATTTAGAAACTTACAGATGTGGCAGATGTTGTAATTGCAAAAAGCATTCTTGAACTATAATCCATTGGGCGTGACTGAAGTAAATATATAACTCTGCAAAAATGCGTTTGTTTTTAATACAAGTACACAGCATAGCTACTGAAATACAATGTATCAATATTCATTCAAATGTAAATGTATTTCACTGTCAAAAAGAGATTAAGGGTAAGAGATTCCACGGATATAGAAAATGAGGAGAAAACCTCCAAATAGGTACTCTTAAGCACGCAGTTACACCTGTAAGTTATTGCAAATGGTATTTCATTGCATAAATAAGGATCTGACAATCCAAAACTGATGTTACCAGGAAGTAAAAATAAGAACACAACAGTGAGTTCTGAATCACACACATTGCTAGGTTTCTTGAAAAAGCCAGATATAGTTAAACTTCCAAGTTAACAATAATTTGCCATATTATATGTAAGACAACACACATACCTTCGGAGTTCTTCATCTTCCTGTATACCTCCAAAGATTTCTTGAGTTTTCTTTAAAAAGACATGAAAATCTAGGTGTGAGAGTTTTCCAAATTGTTTGGATAAACAGCTGGGTCATATCCTTGCTTAAACCCTGTCTTAAAACTGGGCACACCTGCTAATGCAGCCAAGGAAAGGAATTCTGGTTTTATTAGTCCTTTCTTTAATGTATGCTTGGCAGTCAACACCGTTCCTCAGCCTGCTAACTGGTATTTTGAAGCAGAGGCAATGCCTACTCTTTGCCCTTTCTCACCCAGCTGTATGCTGCACAGATAGCAATTAATTCTGTTAGCCAAGTTGCAACAGGAGAGGATTAATTCTCTTTCTGATTTTAGGATCAGTGTTTGATGAGGCTAATATATTTACAACTCCTTTACTCCTTTAGGCCAGTTACACAACCTTACTGTAGCACCAAAGATAAGATTTTAATCTCCATACAGGGAGAAGGGAAAGCATTCCAAATCATTCTCACTAGAGACAGTGGTGTGCAACAATGTTAGAAAGGTATTGAAGTTGTTAGTAATCTGAATTCAGATGCATCTTAAAAAGATTCATGAGTACTAAAGGCAAATTGTGCAAAATAATCTTAGTCTTTTCAACAAGTGATAAAAATATACATATTTTATGTAATTGGACATTTTTCTCCAAAACCAAATCTTCAGTGATGACTTACTTCTGAGGGCAGTATACTCGGACACAGCCATTTATCCAGCAGTTTATCCCAAATTTTGTTCATATCCAAATTATTAATTTCAGCTATCTCCTTTGCTGCCATATGGATATCTATGTAAATAGGTAGAGACAATAAGTTTAGACACTAGTGTTATCTTGCTTAGCATTTTTTAAAGAACTTCTTTTTGTTCCTTTGCAACTAGATTATGGATACTCACCTGGATAATCTCTGCCAGTCGGATTTTGGATTCTTTGGTCTATACTGTGGTGTTCATATAGTAAAATGATAAGATTTGCTGGTTTCCCAATAGACTTTAAATGCTCTCCGGTGTTCAAGTTATGTGTTGTTAGAACATTTTCAGTTGCTGATCGCTTATACTGCATATATAATTTCTTCTGTAGGACTTCTGCTTTTTCATGTGATTCATCCTTTAGCAAAACACCACAGTTTTATATAAACCAACCTCCTTTTACTCAAAAGCACTAGAAAAATCTTAACTTTTTATAGTCTAAAACAGTGACCTGGGTAGCAAGATCTGTTCTTCAGATGTGTCCCCATACCTGTATCTACAGGTATTTTTTCTGTAAACAGTATTAACCATGCTGCTCTAGCAAGAAAACATATTTTGAAAAAAATTGTAAACAAAGGTATGTTGTGAAAAAGCCAAATAAAATATGTACCACAGGCACCAGTATGTAAAATTAAGACACTTCGAGGTAAGATGGAGAAGAAAAGACGATTTAATATTAAACCTTGGCTGCTAGAATTACAGTTTAATTTTGGCACAATTCTATTCAAAGATGTGACTAAGTATCAGAGAACTATTTAGTGCTCATTGTGTCTCAACAACTCCATAGCAAGTTTGATGTTTATAAGCAAGGGTGAGATTCTTATTCA